ATAAAATCCAACAAAAGCCATGGCGGAAATCAAAGAATAAAAAGGGACCTTCACCTGGCAACCCTCACAAGTGCTAATGGCGGAGAATTCGTAGATCAGGGCCCAAAATAAGGAAAATAATCTAAATGCAAATAAAACTATTTTCATGTCACAACAATGCCTTAAACAAAAAAGGGGAAGCAACTGGAGGGCGCTGAAAAGTATGCAACTGAAAGGAGAGCGAAAATAAACACCAAGCAATGGCACACATTTTGAACACATTTATTTGCACATTTGGAAATGCAAACAGCGGGAAAAGTCTGAAAAGCCGGTCGAGAAGCCCTTGCCCAAAAGAAAGAACCCTTTTTGCGCAGCCAAGATGGCGAAAAATGATGCTTCCGAGGGACTTTCTCCCTCCCCCGCATCCGAAATGAGTGAAATGTGTAACCCTTGCAATGATTTGTTAAATTACACGCAAAGTTTTTCCAGTTACCAGGGGAGCTGGGCATGGAGCTTCAAGTAATTAGTGAAAACCTTGGCTATGGCAATGAAAAATTGCTGGAAATTGGGCGTGAAAATGGCTTCCAACCTAGCTGAAGGGGTAAAACAATTCCGTTTCCCCATTTTTTTTGGGCTGATGCCTAGGAAAATTCCCCAGAAGTCACATTAAACACTCCTGGTTTCATTAGCGTTGCGTTCTATCAAGATCATGTTCTCATTTTTTTGTGCCCGGCACTCGTAAGCCATTACTAATGCAGATAATTAGAGTTTTAATGTGTGCTATGCATTCAGCGCAGAAAACTTTAAAGACAAATTAATGAAACTTATCGGCGGCGTGTATTCAGGCAATCTCAGCCTTGTCTCTGTGAAAAGGCAACTTTTAATGGATCCCCCCCCACCGAGATCCAGGCAAAGTTTCGCCAAAACTTAATCCTCTCCAAAAACTCAGAGCCTGGACAAACATTTCAGGCATCCCATGATCCAAGTATCCGAGAATCATCGACGTCCGCCTAGAAAGCGGCTGCTTTCAATAAACAAATTTGTACGCAAATATTTTGGTACACAAATTTCTGCCAGGCTACTAAATATTTTGTGTAAAGTCGTTGAACATTCACAAGGATTGCAATAATGACAGTCGAGGCTCAGTGTGGGCGTGGCAGGGATTGGGGCGGGCCACGGGGGGCAGGCGGAGGCGCATCCATGGCGCAGAGTGTGTAAACTGGAGCAAAAGGCGGCATACATTACGGAAACGAAACGAGGCGCACGAACCTACGGAATGGAGTTTCAACTGCGGATTGGAGCGGGACAGACACAGACACAGGCACAGGCACAGATACACACATACAGACAGGCGGACACACACCAGCATACAAAAGTCAACATAAAATTTAATTAAAAACTTTGCAACAACTACAACGATGGGGCGTGCGCCGCCTTCGAAAATGAACCAACATAATGCAGCGCCAGCGGAAAACGTGAGGAAAACAGCCCAAAGACTACTGACTTGCCGGCGAATTTTGTATCTGTGCGCTACGGCAATCCGAATTGCCAGTCGCAAGTTGAGGCAGTCCGAAATGGGCACAGGGAAAAACAAGGCAGCATATAAGCTTATAATTCAAATAATATAAATAAGAAATAAAAACTCTTAGGCATAAAACAAAAACAATAAACTTATAAGACAGAATCAAATTATTATGGGCTTCACCAGTACGTTTCGTCACTACGTGCACTCTCTTCCGCATTTTCTTTCCCTGTAAACACTCCACTTGATTTCTATGCCAACGAACGAACTATGAACTTGGAGTTAGTAAAATTGGCCAAGAATATTGAGCAAAGGCCGGCCTAAATAAAATTCTAAGGCAGATAAAAAACAGGCAGCGGCTGAAATTTAAATAAATAAAATGGCTGAAAACAGCGATGCCAAGGCAGCAGCAGCAGCAGCAGCAGTTTCTTCACGATTCCGATGCGGCAAAAGGAAAACCAATTACGAATTCAAATGAAATTCATGAAATTCCAGCCACTTTGTGCCGAACTTAAACCACGTCTTTGTAATATATATCACATTGAGAGCCTCCCGGAAAAAAATACAAGGAAAAACAGGAAGAAGGTGGCATAGTTTCGCAGGGCATCCTCGAATCGGAATCGTGGGCGTACATGTACATGGTACACACCCGCCCTCCCGGGAGACTTCGAGACCTGAAGCTTTCTAGAGACATTTAAATTGCGGCATGATTTGAAATACAAATTGAGCAAATTGGCAGGAAAAACTGTGCAAAGAGCCCTTCGACCGCACTGCCAAGTGAATTGAGGTAGGATGTGGGGCTGTGGCAGCGATGCCATCAGGAAACTTCGAATACTTCTTAGCAATACTCCACTTAAAGTTCGCCATCCCTGTCATAAAATTGCTATTGATTTTCCAGCTTTATCTCAATGCCCGCGGAATATGAGTACGCTCAGATATCAAGTTACGCCAAGCCATAATTAAAATGTTAAAAATGTGGTCACGGAATCTTTGGCAGCCTCCGCTTTCTGGCTTTTAATGGGCGATGTCGTAAATGATATGGCCGCCGCATTGAATTTCCAATGAGCGGCGACCCACGCGGTTGTTTTAAATGCTTTTTGGTGGCTCTGACGCCTCAGAGGGCCTGGGGTGCTGCGTTGTCACCTTGACAACCACTATGGCAGAGCTCGTTAGCCAGCTTAGCTACAATTTATCTCCAGCAATTGGCGACCCACAACCACAGCCATCAGCACTCAGCACTCAGCACAAAGCTCCTCTGGCCGCCTAATCGCATTCAATTAACACACAACACACACAACACACACCGTGCAGCCAAAGCCGCACAGAAAAAGCCAAGGGAGAAAAAAATGGACTTGGACGCAACTTCTTGCCAAAGGCAAGACAATGGCTGAACTGAAAACGCTCGTAAGAATAAGACCAAGTCCAAAGTGCATGGCAGAAAAGCAAATCCAATAAAGTTGTTATTGCTTTTGTTTCGGCTGGTCGAAAGGCGTTTATAAATTACTTAAAGCGCTTAAGGCCGGAGAAAAGAAAACCCGTTTGAAGGCGATTGGAGTGTGGCGAATGGGCCAACAACTTGTGGCGTGACCGAGGCTTCGAACTTGCTGGCAAAGCCAATCCCGGCAATATGTTCGCCGCTTTTGCTATTGCCTTGGCCATCTTGGCTGCTGAGCAGATTAAAGCGTATCGTGTAGCAGCAAATCCAAAACCGCAAGCGGCCAACAAAGGAGAAAATCGAGGAAAATTGGCGGTGGGAGAGCGGGAAAGCGGGAAAGCACTGGGAAAGCCTACCAATTGAATATCAATCAACTTTTGGGGCGTGCGTGTGCGTCGGCCCAAAGGAGCTGAAACAAAGGAGGCATTCAAGTGGGTGTGGGAGTGGATGTGTTTGTGGATGTGGATGTGGCACGAGCCAAGTGAAGTGGCCTTGCCCCCACTCCCCACTCACCACTCCCCACTCCCATAATGGAATTAAAACTGGCAATTTCGGAGCAAATTGCTTGATAGGCTGTCTTGTCTTGCAAGTGTTATGGCTGCTGCACGGGAAAAAACCATAATCGGATTACTCTGGCATTCATAAAGTATATTCTAGCACAGGTTCTTACGCATCAGCTAATTGCCAAAAACTGAGAAGTACACAGAAAACACTGACTTCTTTTGTCTATTTAAATTCATCATAGTTCCGGGCTTAAATACAAAATGTATTTAGTGCTTGTAGTGAGGTAGCTCGGATGAATCTGTGTGCTGATAGTCTAAGGATGGGGTTCCGAGGAAATCGAAGTGCAATATTTTCGCTCAGTGCTCCGAATCGCTCGCACATTGGTATTGTGGGAGCGCGTCTAAGCGAATTAGGCAACACAAATCAATTGCATTAAATGGCAGCTAGCGCGTGTCTTCGCCCCTTTTGGACTGCCAATGGCTGTGTGGTTAGGATTCCGGCTTCCCTATCCGATTTGCGAGTACTTTAGCATACGAAATTGGTGTACACGCCTCGAATGCGGAATACTGGCTGGCAAACCAAATGCCAGAAACAATTGTGATGGCCTGAACAGGCAGCCAAATAAATGCCGACGAACAGCTGCAAACGACTTATTTATGCCACAAAGAACTCAAAGCCCACTCCACTGCGCCTTCGTATGATATCCCTATTATCGTTTGCTTTTCGGGATTAAGTCTGCCTGGATCTGGATCCTAATTTACACAGCTTCTGGGTATTTACCTCTTCATCCTGGGGCGCAAAACTTTTGCCCAAATGAGAAGTCGGAAGGAATGCCATTTGGGGAATGCTCTTAAGTATTTAAATTCAGCGGATTTTTATGAAGCTTTCGCGTTCCTTTGCCTCTCGCCATTGCATGTGTTTATTTCATTTCTCATTTTCACAAACATTTTCCCACCAACACCCCCGCACAAACACACACATATACAAGTACAACTAAGGACGCCACATGCCAAGTTCTACTTCATTTCATGTCGGCATTTGCACATTTTCCTTATTTTTCCCAATGGTTGTGTGCGAGTGTGTGCTGAGCGAAATTTTGTTATACTTCTGTTTTCTGAAGGCGGCAAAAAAAAAAAAAAATAAAGAGGAAAGTGCGACTTGGAAGCCACCGCAAAACAATGAAAATTGGTTTTGTTACTTTGCTTACTTTCGCAGACTCTCTTCTTGGCTAAGACCGTTCTGCGGTTGAGCCCTTGGCGGTGGCTTTTATTGCCCGCCCTGTTATTGTTGCTTTATTTATTTGGCAGCTGGCGGGAGTAGAGGAGTCACAAAGCCACCCAACCACCCACCTGGCCTCCTAGCTCCTAGCCATCGAAGCTTCCACTTCTGAAGCTGATGGCGTTGAGTATTATCGCATAAAATCCAAAATGTAAACACTGGCTCAAGTCGAGTCCTTGCAGCACGTACACGTTTATATTCTAAGCGACAGTCGCTGCCAATTTGAATATTTCAGGGCGAACAGCTCCCACAAGAATTCACTAATATGCTGCAAATTATTACCTGGGCCAGCGCCACTGCAACTCGTGTGGCGAACGATCGTTTTCGGTTTTATTATCCTTAAAGCTCGCACTTTTATATCTTATTCGCTGAGTTTATTCACTTGGCTCGTTTTAGTTAGTCGCAGTCTGGAACTGCTCGGTTTTAGTTAGCACACTGCACAAATAACCATTATCCTGCAGCTAGAATCCGTTTTGCTGGCACAGCTGATGTCCTGCTGGGCCTTTGGCTTCAGCTTGAGGATTTCTGCTCCTGCTGGAAAACACTAAGAGCGAGTCGCGCGCGATTCGTGTCAACTGCGTCGAAGGGTTCACTTTCAACTGAAACACTGCTGGCCGTTCGCCGTCGTTTCTCAGCGCCCTGCATTCGGGTTCGGGTCAGCACTTCGGCTTGCTTCGGCGCCCTTCGGCTACGCCCACGAGGCCACCCGAGCGGCGGAGAGGGAGAGCACTGCTCACAGAGCGAACAGTGGCTGGACTCTCTCCCAGTTCGCCGCAGGACAACTGTGCCACGGCGAATTGGGCATTACCAACTCGAGTTGTTAGACTTGGCTGCTCTGCTCTGCCCTGCTTGGCCATAAAACATAATTAACAGTTTTGTTTACAAAAGACAACAACAAAGTAAATACAACAACACATTTTTCCGATTGTCTGTGCACTTAAATTCGTGTATGCACATACTTTTCTTTGAAACGGAAACTTAAACATCCAATTTAAATATTATTTTTGGGAGGCAAGGCATGTGACAGCTTGAAATTCAAACTTAAAAATGACAATATACATAGGTAATATTTATTTAAGTAATATAATTTTGGTATTACTTTCACACTTTCAATAGCAGCGTCTATTCCCTTCTCAGCATAAGCCACTTATACCAAGTTGATCATGTAAAGCTGTCATATCATGTTGTTCACCTGTCGCTTGAAGCTATTTGAGCTCGCCAGTCACTCTTCGTCAGTTTTTCGCGCAGAGAGGCTTGTGGAAACTACCCCTGCCATATTTTCGCCACGAATGCCACTCCGAATTTCGCTCCGAAACGAGGGGCTGACTACAGAAATGTTGCTGGCTACATTCGAACTGCCTTGGCAACATTTCGAACTGGGAGACAAAGTGCGGCATGTCCTGCTGGATTCGCTGAGTGAAAGTTACGCGGCGAGTTCCCAGGTGAACGCAGCGCTGTCACTTTTCACATGAGGAAAAGCTGGAAAATCAAGTTACCGAGGCGTGACCGGCGAGGGCAGGCTCGCGTGTAATTAAAACTAAACAGCAGGAACAACATCAACATCAACATTTGCACCAGGGGCATTGGGCAACAACCACCCACCGGTCATCCGGATAACCGTAAAAAGCGATTCAGCAGTTTGTCCGGCGGAAAACAAAGGGAAAACCAAAGGGAAACCATCAAGCCATCCCACCAACGTGCAGACCAACCAAACGACCAACAGGCATTACGCTGATGACGAAACCGAATACGGAAGTCCATAAGTCAGGATTAAAAACGGCGGCAGCGGCGGACACGCAAAATATGGCGACAACAACCTGGTCAAAAGGAACTTATGTCCAACAGGAGATGTCCTGAAATTAATTTGAATATTTTCCAAACGCTCTTCCGTCCCCTCTCCGCCCCCGTCCACTGCTCTTGGCCCTTTGTCGCTGCTTTTGTTTCAGCTTTTGTTTCAGTTTCCGCTCTTGTAGCAACGGGGCTTTTGACTTCATTAGAAGTAATGGCGAAATCTGGCTGAAAAGTGAAAAACAGGAATCTGTCCGCGTTCCACGCGGCCCCCTCCCTCCCCGCCCCCCGTCGCTGAACTGTCAGCGACGCAACGCAACGGTTATAAAATTCCAAAATATGCACATAAAGACATAATCCTCCTCCGCCGAACATTTTCCCCGGAAAATGGAAATAGAAACAACTGCCGCCGAGTCAACGGTCAACAGGCGATGGCGGTGGGTCAGTCAGTTTCAATTTATTGGGTGCGCTTGAAAATAAATTTGCTTTTCGAAAATGCGAACATCAAGCACACAGAACGCCATGGGCGGTGGGCGGTGGAATGGGGGTGGCAATACAGGTGGGCTGGGCTGGCTCAGGTATGGAGCAACTCTCAGGGGTCCTCGCGGATGAAAAACGATTACGCAATCTGGCCCGTGCCATGTCCACCAAAGCAAGTGGAACAATGTGGGGGCGGTCAGCGTGAAATGAGCTGAATTTATACGAATTCTTTGAGTAAAGCTCTCATCCTTCGAGCACTTTAAAGGTAAGGTTTTGCCTATTAAATTAAACAGAACGATTAATTTTTATGGGTACATTTTTTGACTTCAATCACAAAAGATTAAATTCATATTTAGCATCTTTATTTCGAGTTTTTCTTAATAAGTTTTTAAGCAAGTGGACAAAAAGGTTATAGGAATAATTTCCAGATGCATCAATAGGCAATCATTTATTTCCGAAAAGAAGATACGATAATAAATTGTAATTAAAACGCGCTGTGTTAAAATAGGAAATATAAAACAAGCTATCTTCAATTTTGCCTCGACACATAATAGAATGGCTTATGTTGCCAAATATGTTGTTATTAAATTCTTCGATTTCAGTGCTTAAATATTATCAATAACAACGGTTATCAAATCTTTGTATGTTCGGATTTGCCACGCAGCTGCTGCCACTCCTACCATTTTTGCAATTAGTTGCAGACGCACGATTCGCTTCAGGTTTCGGCGAAAACTCAATATTGAACATTAAGATTGGTCACCTGAATGCAGTATTGGATGTTTGCACAACATGGGTAGTGGGTGTGGGTGTGGGAGTGGGTGCAGTGACTCATTCGGTGCACTCAGCTGCCGCCGGACAGGCCAAGCGGATTACGATTCGGATTCGATTTACTTTGCCGTCGCCAGGAAGTCACAATGCGGGTGCGTTACAAACAGGCAACAGTTGAGGGCTGTTGAGATTCAGAAGTGGCATTGGGTGGGATTGGGCTGGTCTGGGTTGGCCTGGGTGGGGTGGAAGTGGGGTACTTGCACTGCCGGACCCACAAACAAACAAGCAAATAAACAAGCGGCTGGCAAACAGGCCGCGTCGTGATTGCAGGACATTTGCGCAAAAAGGCAAAACAATTGAATTGAATTGACAACAGCGGACCACCAAGTCTGGGATCTGGGTGGTTGGGGTGCTTGGGGTGGTATGAGGCCGCTCACTCGACCGGTAATGGTGTTGATAGCATTAAGCATGCCTCAACGAAGTCCAGCCAGGATATGCGTACAGGCATGATTCCACCGATGGCCAATCTGCTCGAGACCCTTAGGCACTGCCTGCACTTGTCCAAAAGTATGGCCTAAACAAAACCAAGACTTCATATTTACTTTCTAGCTGAAAGCAAATCGAACAGGTTTACAACATAATTGGTACTAACTTAAATACGATGAATGCCTATTTATATTAGCTATATTTCATTTTAAAAATGCACAGCATTTTCGCGAGATTTCGTACCAATTAGCCATGATTTTCTTGCAGTGCAGCTGCTGTGCCGTGTGTTGTTTTCACTGCACTTCAATGCTTTTTGCAATGTAAACAGCCGCCGCAGACGCCGCCCTCGGCCTTTCACCGACACTCGCACATATTTTCACATTTCCCATTTCCTCACTCTTCTTTTTTTGCATTGTTTATTTGCTTTACTGTGGTTACTTTTGCTGTTTTTGCGTTTTTTATTTTTTCACTTCTGTTTCTGGGCTAGCAGCTGGTGTTTGTTGTTGTTTGTGTGCTGGCAAATTAGTTGAATTTGGGCAAGGGCTCGGCCGAAAAAAGGGTGTGTGGAGGCTGTTGAAAGTTTTTGTTTGACACTTTCTGGCATAAGCCTCGACCACATGCGACATGCAACAGCAGCAACAGCAGCACAGGCAGCAAATGCAGCATCGACAAGGACAAGCGACAACTGGCAGGACACTCCCGTGCTGCTCGCACTTAAATGTCCTTCGCTGAGCCTGCTCCTGCAGCACTTAATCCGCTTAAACGTTAAAAGTGCTAATAGTTTTTCATGTTTCAACCCTGACTTCTTTATGGCAGTAGTGGCAGCAGAGGGGCGGGGGCAGGGAGAAACCCACCACCGGCAGCAGGAAAAACAACATTTTCCCCAGAGGGGGTGGGTGAAAAGGTGTTAAAAGGCAATAATTTATATGCTTAGAATTGTCATTTGTAGATGTTTTGTGTGCAGGACCCGTCTGTCCCAGTATTCATCTGTTTATTTGCTTTGCTCTCCCAGTGCGGTAATTGCAATTTTGTTTTGAGGTTTTCCCTTTATTTAATGGCAAATAATTACACGCTCCTTTTTTATGCGCACCATCGACTGCAACAATGCTTGGCTAATTCGCAGTTCAATCAAAGATACTCCCCCCTGGCGAGCTCATCAATCAAATGGCGATCCAATAAAATCGCATCTGTGCGTAACGCCCACTGTATCCCTAAAATCCCCTAAAATTCACGAGCGGGCGGAAATGTCCTGCATCAATTAAGGAGTACGTACCGTCTCGATTGGAATGTTATTGTAATGGATGCCCCAGCTGAATTATTAACCAAGCTGATTGCAAGCGGAACTATGAATTAATACTTAATAAGACCAAAGTTTCTCGAAGCAACCGAGGACATGCAAAAATGCATTAGCATCGATTTATGGCATCTGTGTGGGTGGATGACTGCCCAATACTCATTTCCGGCGGGCGTGGCTAGATCATTCCGACAATATTGCCATATAACACTATTCATATTTTAGCACTGGACCAAAAGTCAGCGAATGACCAGAGTCTAGGCGAAGTTTCCACAGCCACCCACTGGGAATGAGGAAGGACGTCGGTCGGATGTCCTGCCGCGCATTGAGCCATTCCAAGCTGCCTTATTATTTATGATAATGTCTGGCCATTCGTTTGGTTTATTGTGCTAATGTGCCGCAATTAAGATTAAGAAGACGAATTTTCCCGCTTTTCCACCAGGCAGGACGTGCCTGTGCGCCTATGTGAGATTTTGCGGTGCGAGTCACCTATTGAAATGAGGTCGCAGACTTTGACTTTAACTTCAAGCAGAGGAATTTAAACCCCTTCTTCATAATATATGTCATATTTAAAGGAAGCAGCTTTGGATATTTGAACATTTATTTAATAATTTAATGCACCATTTAAATTGGTATTTAGTGGCGAAAGAGAAAGAAATGGATAGGAGCAGGTACAAATTCAAGAACTTGCCTAGGAACAGCAATTCCATTAGCTTCTTGGACAGTTGCAAAATAGTTTGGACCTTGTCAGTTCCTCGCCTGAGCTCCAACAATTAAAACTTTAATCTTCTAGTG